ATCAAGAATTTTGACAAAACCGGAATCGATTTCAGCAATTTACATTCAACGTCGAATATAAAGAATTTATGTGTTGATTTTTATAAAATTATGAATAAATAATCGATTAAAGTTAAATTTTAAAAATAATGGGAATTTTTTACGCATAGAGCCACGCTACTATATTATTGTAGTACCAAGATTGGGTGGGCTCGCCCAGGAAAGGACCACGTTCTCACAGAATATAAGCGTAAATTAGCAGCTCAATTTCGAGTGTTGATGAACGGAGACCATATTTTTACGGGAAATAAGGCATTTTATCTTAGTTCTCAGGGGTGGCAACGCATCTGTATTTTGATTCTTAATCGAGGTCAGATGTAGAAGTCTATGGGCCAAAGCATTAATTTATCATCGGGTTAACTGGTGCTCGTTTGTCAAATAATTCTATAAAAAATTATAATAAGTTTAAGAAAGAAAATTTACTAGGTAGAGCTTTTTCGCTTCGAATTCGCCTAGTTCTGTATTACACTCTTACCTACGTTTGGCGCCAAATAACAGTACTGTATTCCGGTTTGATACAGTATAAAAATGTCGGTAGAATTACAAACTATGGGATACTTCATCTCAGTCTTCAAGAGTGACAACATAATATCTAGAGCCTTCTTCGTTTCACGTTAGTTGCAAGTGTTTTATGGGATACAGTAGCCAATTACAACCAGGTGGGCTATAAGTATCTCCTGTTACTTCAGTTTATAAATTGAGAATATTATGTCGTTGTACAAAAACGCCTACCTCATGCATAATAAGCGTCACACTCTGTTAATTAAGCAGACTCTAGTGACCTGCTGACGTCACAAAATGTCCTGAGGCTTGCAAGCCTGGTGCTGCATCTGTACTGACATTACAAAACTTCCTGAGGCTTGGAAGTCTGGTACTCATTCAGATCATTCTTCCTGGCCCCATGGACACAAGCAATCATTTATTTGAGGATAAGGTGAAATACCTGAGCTGGTGAGACTACAGGTATGTGTGCGGTAATTGGATAAGCGTTTCCGTGAACCTGTGGGGTTATTTGGTGCGTAATTCGTAGGTATTTCTCAACGAAAATGCTATTTTTCAGTATTAATACAACCAAGAAACAACAAACCCATAAACCTTTTTTACCTTTATTTACTTTGATACCACTTGTCTTCGAAAAAATTTTTCAATTTAGGATTGTATATGTTTGTAGTGGAGTAAGGCTTTTAAATTAAGATATCCAAATGACGCCTCTCACGACACCCAGAGGATGATATGGAATTGTAAACTCTGTTAGCGAAAACTCATTGCTTCTGATAGATGGCGATAAAACGATATCGTTTACACCAGGCCTTAAATGTCCAGACCGGCGTGGATAAGCAGCATCAAAGGTCTTGGACTTCTGTTATTGCTAGCGCCAATCCACCTACCAAGCGTGATGATTAAGTTAAATACTTTCAACGGATATTACCAAAGTTTCAGCATTTAACTTTTTCGGTATGATGATAAAGAAGATAGTGAAAGGTCAATGCTGGCCGTGTAATAACAGTGTAAGAATACCCACTACCCCATATCGTCCCGTGGGTTTCGTAAGAGGCGACAGAGGGGAACAAACTAGGAGATAAGCAGCAGCCTTATACCGCATCCTTATAACAACTCAATAAAAAAAAAACACGTGTGCAGTGCACACGCGGTGGAAGTGAAACCTTAAAAAACTAAACTTCGAGAGAATGAGACGAATGCAGATTATCAAGAGTAGTACGGTTGCAGAGTTTATTTATTATATTAATGTCAGGATGTTTGTATATATTATGAAATCGTTCAACTCAAAATGTTTTTGATCAATCACCATGAAAATTTGTATATTGGTATTAATAAATTAAATTGCTTGCGCTAAAATAACAAAAGTCGCTGAACACAACCTATGTTATTAACTTGTAGCACAACGTCTGCCGGGTTCAGATAGGTTATTATAATATTGTTATCATGTTTAAAAATAATTTCATGTATAATACATTACATATTGTACAGACTCCAATGTTCAATCTTATACTTATACTTATGAGTATACTGTATTTTATCTCAATATCGTACAAGCTATACCGTGTAGATGTATATTTTTGTCTCCCTATTACCAAGCTAGTGATAGTTTCTCGAATACACAGAATCAGTAATTCATTCTTGGGGCAATGTACTGTACGCTATATCAACAAGGTCCCAGAAAATATACAAGGGTTACCAAGTTTTAATATTTAATTAAACAAAAAACGGTATAAAAAGGTTTATTATAATAAAAATGACTACATTACATGGTTAATAATAATCCCTGGATTACATTACATTACTGGATTACATTGGATTACATGGTTGATAATAACCCCTGAGAATGCAGTGGTCGCTTCCAAGCATTTTATAAATCAAATTTTGTAAGCATTTTGTAACCATTCACATTGTAAAGTTTATTTAAAAAAAGTCACGCTGCGTTTATCGCGGGTTCTTCCCAGGACAGAGGTTTTTTTCGAACCAGAAGTAGGGTAAAAAATGACTTTCAATTAGAATTACATGTAATCTATATTGAATAAAATTATGCTATTCTGTTCTTTTTAGTATCACTTTTTCATATATATCACTCATATACCGGTGGCCCATAGAGATTGACATCTATCCTCACCATAATCAATTAGGAATCAAAATGTGTGCATGTGACTACTGCAGACTAAGATGAAATGCCTCGTTTCCTCTAAATAGGATCTCCGGTTCTTTCCACTCACCATACGAAATACACAGATTAAGCTTCCCCGGTCGAACTGGTCTATTTGTGATACAACCATAATAATATAGATACAGCATGCCTCTACCACGTTGAAAAAGTGCCAATATAGAAATGAAATAGAAATAGAATAGAAAATGTATTTATTTAACCAAAAAACATTACATAATTAAGCAATACACTGGTTTCTGCACTAAGCTCTAGGCTTGTATCGCAGGAACCAAGAACATTGACTGACACCGTTTACACCGATAAATACATAGAACTCCGATTAAATTAAAATGAAGCGAAAAAATAAATTTTTTTTTTGTTGTGTGCGTGCGAACGAGTGTGTGTGCGTGCGTGTGGGTGTGTGGTGTGTGTGTCTGTGTGAGTGTGTTTGTGTGTGGGGGGGGGATCGTGCTTGCGCGTGTGTGTGAGTGAGTGTAAGTCTACGCGTGTGCATGTATAGGGTCAACTATGAAAGGAAAGTAAGTTTTCCGTTTCCTGATAAGAAGCATGTAGCAGCCAGGTTGTTATTTTGTGTTTGACTTTACTTGTGGACAAAGACCTCAAATCTGGGAAGAGACAGCAGAATTTGTTGTAAATGCTAGGCAGAAGAAATGGTGAGTGGCGTTTGATAAAGCTACTGTGTGAATTGGGAATCGGCACTCGAAAGATCCGACGTTGGCACAGGCTAAGATAATTCGGGGAATTTATTATTTTTCTGTGGGTTAGTATTACTGCCTTTAAAATGTAGATTTGGCGAACCCGTAGTACCTTACATTCCTTGTACAGTTCGTCAGTAGGAAATCTAAAGTTTTTAGACAGCATTACTTTTAGTACTGCTCGCTGGGCCCTCTCGACTTCAAGCATTTTTGATTTGATAGCTCCACCCCAAGCCAGCGTGCAGTAGTATAGTAGGGATTGGGTTAGTGCTTTGTAAACCATTTTCATTGTTTCTTTAGTAGCACAACGTCGTAAAGCTTTCATTATGTAAATGGTTTTCCTAACACTACCCGACAAGCGGCTTAGATGGTTTTTAAATGATAGCTTATCATCAATGATCACTCCTAGATACCTGATGTTATCTGTGTTGCTGATTGTATTACATCCGCAAGAGGGTACTTCAGATACGCAAGTGTGAATTACTAAGTTTACCAGCGAAAATGGTTTTGATGCGAGAGTTTTGTGAAAGGCTATGAACTTAGTTTTTTTATAGTTTAGAGTTAGTAAATTGGAACTTAACCATTTATTCAACACTATCATGCCTTTTTGAGCCGTCTCGAGTACGCTGTCCCAACTTAAATCATTAAATATAATGGCTGTATCATCCGCATAGCATATGACGTCTGCTCTTTGTATGGGTAATTCTAGGATGTCATTAATGTAAATGCAGAATAGGATTGGACCAAGAATACTTCCTTGAGGAACTCCAATACTGATTTTTAATTGCTTACTTGTATGTGAGCCCACTCTTATGCATTGACGCCGATTTAAGAGATAGCTACGAAACCAAGCCAACGCCACTCCTCTAATTCCTTTTGTTTCAAGCTTCCGCAGCAGAATAGGGACCGAGACGGTGTCGAAGGCCCTAGCAAGATCTAGGAAGATACCTAAACAGCTGCGTTTATTGTCCAAATGTCTAGACACAGCATCTGTCAGTCGTACTACCACATCCTCCGTGGACTTACCCCTCCTGAAGCCAAATTGATTTACAGAGAGCAGATTATTATTTTCTATAAAGTTGGTGAGACGTTTGCTTACCATTTTTTCCAATAACTTGGAAAATATACTTAGCAAAGATATGGGCCTGTAATTACTAGGACAGTTTTTATCCCCATCTTTGTGTATTGGAGTAACAACTGCTAATTTCCAACAATTAGGAAAAACGCCACATAACAAGCTAAGATTAAATATGTGGGTAAGTGGATGCAGAACTATGTGTTTTATCTGTTTAATCAACCTTGGGGTGCAGCTGTCTATACCCGGTGCAGTATCGTTTTTTAGCTGGTCAATAAGCGTACCAACTTCATAAGGATCCGTTGGCTGCAGAAAGAGGGAGTCCTTGCAAAGCACTCTTGGTTTGTATTCTGCAGCTAACAGGTCTTCTTGGGTGTTTAATCTTCTGAGCGTGTCATCAGCCAGTTCTCTGCCAACTCTAGTGAAGTACTCGTTACAAGCGTTTAAAGAAGAATCAGGGTCTTTGTCTACGGACAACAATTCAGTAGCCTCGGTAGTGTTACGTGTGAGATTACATATATTTTTGAGCGTTTTCCACAACTTTTTTTGGGTTATCTTTATTTTGCTGAATTTGATTATTCTCGTATTCGGTCTTTAATTTTCGTTGTAGCGCGTAAAGGAAGTTTCTGTATCGTTTATAAGTGATTTGGATAAATGTGTTATAAGGGTTTCTCCTGGCTTCGAGATGCAGATTGTCACGGTGTTTTTGGCATCTCATTAAGCCTGGAGTTATCCATGGCTTTATAACTCGATCTGACCGTTTGGGCACCACATAACTTGTGTTTTCGTTTATTGCCGTTTCTAAGATTGTGTAAAAATTATCAGCTGCCTCGTTAGCATCTTCCATATTCATTATCAATGACCAATCAGTCGACTCCAGCTTGTCAACAATCCGATTAAAATCCATTTTGACCTTACCGTGGATTCGAGATGGGTGATTCGCCTGGTTGATGGTAGTACCAAGTAAACAAATGTCATGATCAGTAAGATCTGCATGGCACACTATACCAACAGCAGAATCTGTACCCCTTACGAAGATGTGGTCCAGGCAGGCCGAGCCCCTGGTAGGCTCCTGCTGAACAATATCCAGTGGATATTGTTCAGCAATGGACTTGTAGGGGACTCTCATACATTTCACACAAACGTACACACATACAGTCACATACACACACATTTACACTATACACAGTTAGTAGAGAATTATCTTCTATTTGTACACCCGCTACGCACACCCACGCACTCCACTACATTGTGACTTCTACAGACTTATTAGTCTGTAACCAATAACAAGCATTTGTTATCTATAATTAAACTACATATATAATATCTGTATTCATACGCCTTTTTAGTGTGTAGAAGATAGTTATATTATAATTTACATTATAATTTAATCGATAGTAATTATAAAATCTACCAAATATAAAAGGGAGGCGCGTACGTTTTAAATTAGACGACCGCAACCTGTAAATCCTATACTATAAGTTAGCAATTCTTATACTATGTGTAAATGTTATTAATTTCTAGGAAATGGTTCTGTGGCGGCGCTGTCGTCGCGCCGCAAGCGAAACACACCGAAGCCTTGGCTGCTCCCCGGGCATAACACCTTGCCCGGCGGGAGATCTCCCCTTTTCCTTCCACGGCCACAGTGGTGACACCCTTAACGCCAACAACCTTCGGAAACTACAACAACTACAGCAAGCCAGTCCAACTTGTCTTCGTCTCGACTCACCGCAGATTTATAAGGCAGACTTCTGGCACTTGTGTCCATTGATGCGTAGTACGGCATGCATTACACATCGGCATATCATTCGCACCGGTGTCACTTGCCCTTACGCACACAGCATGCATTCCCCACCGATATTAAGGACGCACCGGCAATCGGACTGCACTATCGACCACTGGTCTGAGCAGGGGGTGATGTGGCGGCGCTGTCGTCGCGCCGTAAGCGAAACGTACCGAAGCCTAAATCACGCTATTAACATTCCGAATCATAAACAGCATATATAGAACATCTCCGAACTATCACATGGAGTGTTGGCCGCTCCCCGGGTAGAACACCTTGCCCGGCGGGACATCTTCCCTTTTCCTTCATCGGCCACAATTCCAATGATTTAGATGAAATTATATATTTAGATAATGTTTTACTTTTCAAATTTATCCACACAGGTTTGTTCCATGACATAGTATAAATCAAGTTTTGTAACACCAAAGAAAGCTCATTTTCCTAAGTACTTAATATCTTTAACGCACCTAATTTAACTACATTACTGGATAAAAAATTCTTATGATGAAACAACATTTTATAGAATAATTTATAATTTAGTATCTAGGATATTAGGAAAATAATTTTAAACGTAAATTTTGAGACATTTTTTTTAACTTTCCACAGGGGAAGAAACACGCTCTGATAGAATAACAACATAAAATAGCAGCTTAATGCTGCTTTGTTTCATATCATGAGTGTAGAGAACCGGGGACACCTTTAACTGGAAACGAGCCGTTCCATCTTAGTCCTCAGGGGTGTAAACGCACCTGCATTTTCATTGTTAATTAATTCTAAAAGGATAGATGGATAAAGGGTGGATGGTCTAAGGGCCACGGCAACCACTTATCATCAGGGGGACTATGTGCTCGTATGTCACCCTTATTCCATAACGTTATATACGTTACACATGACCATTGTTTTTTTTTCATGTTTATCTTAAGACTTTTCCGTCGAGAGACACTAACACAAGGGTACTCCGTGGGAGACACTATTGAGGTCCTTGAGCAAAGCACTATTAGGTCCTCCAGCGATTCTGCCATAAGGACTAAATTATCGGCGGATTGAAGGTGAGTGATGTGCTCGCCAATGATGCTCATCACCCGACGGGCATCACACGATGCCAAAACGGCACCATTTCTACAATAGCTGTATCTAACTTGACTCACCGGTGCCCTTGCGTTGCTGCGCTAATAATAGTATCCTAATTGGACCTATTAGGATATTAAAAATATATTTTTTGCTTTGATTGCCCGATCGTACGATATAACCCACCGTACGTATCGTTGTTAAGCATTACTTGTGCTCGCGCGATGACTTGCAAGCTTCAATTAGAACACTAGAGAAATATGTGTGTTTAGTCTTGTCGTACGACAAAATCGCATCGTTTGCTCGTACGATCGTTGCTAATTATGACGACGCCTTAGATTGAGCGTTAGATTTGTAACCGAACGCGATCAGACGTTAAAATAAAAGTCTTTGCGTTTTCACGTATGTTTTATTCTTTTTAGATACTAGATATTTCTATTTTAGCTTGTAAGTATTCTACATACTAACAAAGTTGCACAAGGACAAAGAGCTAATCACAAATAATTATGAATTGGTCATACATTTACTTCATCTGTGCTGGATTTAAAGCAGCGACAAACGACACCGCAATTAACCGCCCAGCGCGCTATTTAATTTTGATATATATGCACAATGATTTCTTATATTTACGCTAATACTACACAATAAATTAAGAAAATTCTACGAATTTTTATTGCGTTTAATTAAAAATTTAAATACCTGATGTTTCGGGTGCTTTATGCTACCAATGATCATGATCAATAAGGTGTTTGACTCCCCGATTTTGGTCCGATCTACGCAGACGAGCTTACGGTATCTTGAAGTCTTGCAGTGGTATACTTAGGTTTGGATTTCATTTTATATTCAAAAACTAAACGTAGCAGAGCAGAGCCCCTCCCTGTGACAATGGGTGCTGTAAAGCACCCGAAACGTCGGGAATTTAAAATTAAGCGAGATAAACATCCGTAAATTAGTTTATAAAAGAGATGCTAATTTAATGATCTGTAATAGCCTACTTTGCAAGGGTTAATAAAAAAACAAGGTTCCTAAACTTGTTATAAATTGGGGCCCACTAATAATTTTTGTTAATCTTTACAATTAAATAAAATTAAAGTGTTTGTTTATATTGTCTAAAGGAGAGCTTTTTACTAAATGCATATGAAATTATCAATAGTGCTTTAACAAAAAACTATTTTCAAGCTTTTTCTGTCTGTCTGTCTTTTTTTCCTGCAAGTTTGTTCCGGCTAATCTCAGAAATGTCTGGACTGATTTCGACAGACCTTTTAATGTCAAATAGCTAATATTATAAAGAGTAACTTAGGCTACATTTATTTTGGGAAAAGAATAATAGTTTCGCACAAAAAATTTATACAGCTAGTATATAATAAAATAGTTCATGCGGCGATATGCGATTCCCGTCAAACATATTGCGATACTGCGTTAGCAAGAGTTTTTTACAATACTTGTCAACTCTGAACTGACATTATGTGAAGTGAATAATTAAAAACAACATGCTTAGTCGCAAATATAACAATAAATTAGTATAGACCTTTAAACAGGGCGGCGGTCGTATAAAATCGTTATCTATGGTCAATAAAATGTGTAAGCTGCTATAAACGGAATACGAGCCACTTCGAACGTTGTTGAAGCAAATCTTTTTATGTCAAAAATCTTTTTATGTAATCGAAGTGGTTGGGAACAATTCGATAATGGTTATGGGGTAATCAAATGTAAGGAATAAGGTCAACATGGTAGAGCCACGCTGCAGCTATATTATGCTTGTAGCATGAATGGGTTGGCTCCACCGGGGAAGAAGCACACTCTCACAGAAAACCAGCGTAAAATAGCAGCTATTTAAGCTGCTATTTTCTGTGTTTTGTATGGTGAGTGTGGAGAACCGGAGACCCGTTTTACTGGAATCGAGGCATTGGATCTTATGAAATACAGCTAATTACACAAACCCAATGTTATGTTTTAAAATTATTGCATTGCTTAAAAAGTTAGGTACAAACATTCTTTTTGAATTAAAATATTATGTATTAATGAAATACTTATACAGATCCACTCTATTTGAATTCTTATACAATAAATTGTTCATAAATTATTAATTGAATTATTACATTATTGTTACATAAATAATATTAAATATTATATGAGATTAGTTAAGCTATTATTATTTTAATAATTACACTACAGTATAAATTGATTCATAATTTTAATTACAATAAAATTATAATTTAAAAATCTCAGGCTATTATGCAAATATTACCATTTAACTTATTTTACATTTTAATAAATAAATAATCAATATGATTACTAATCGTTTTTAGAAATAAAATGTCAATGTTCATTAATTCCTTAAACTAAATTTTATATTAAAATAATAAATTCGACGAAATTATAATTAATTATGTACATAGGTACTATGTTATCTCAAAAAAGAAAATTCGTGTTCGTAGAAGATGATGAATTGTGGTTTTCATCGTTGAAATCCCATATCTTTTCTGATTCCAGTAGTTCTAAAAACTTTATTGTATTTTCATTATTCCACTCGAAAGGCATTTTGGTAGATCGTAATTATTTAATAACAAGACGCCACGCACGTCCGTTCATCCAGGCGCTTGGCGCGAAGTGAGCGATGGAGCAGAATGTGAACACTCACTGCCGCTCGCGCTGCCCGTCCTTTGACTTCCGCACGAAAAACCGACATTTGAGGGATCGTCGGGCAGTGGCAGCGGCAGCGGCAGTGTCAGCGCGAGTAGCCTGTTTACATACTGCCCTGCTCACTGCCCTGCCTCACGCCCGCTCACGCCCCCAACAGGGATGAATGTAAATGGGGCATAAGAAAACTCTACTTACTCCATATTATTCTAAAAAAACACAAATCCCTCCCGTATGAACCCAATAAGCCGAATATGGTTCGCAGAAGAAACTACTTGGTCGCTCCAGTTGTCCCAGTTAAATCTGTTTTTGCTAAAAGGCAGTATACAAGACAGTCTTCCCGCTTATACAACCAATTGAATAAAGAGCTACACATCTATCCTCTAAAACTTCGTGACTGTAAACTAATTGTCACTGAATGGCTTAAGACTAAAACTTACGATGATATTGAGGCAATGGTATCATCGTTATCATAATCTGTCTAGAAACCGTTATAACCTCAGTAACGAAACCGTTAGTGGAAGAAGCAGTGCCTGGCTTGTATTGTCGCAGGGCTAACCTAAACTTAAAACTAAAACTTATATCTACAAACATGCAAACTAATTTAACTCATGTACACAATACACACACACCCACAT